AAGCTGCGGCCGGGGCCGCTGATGTGGACTCGACCTCAGGAGCCGCCGGAATCTCGAATCTTGATCGAGAACCAACGGCTCTCTGTCGTGGAGCCTGGGCACCACCGGAGGGGCTCGAGAGTCTGAGGCGGCCGGCTCCAAAGCAGGCACAGCAACTGTGATGTCAGGGAGTGGCGGCGCGCCACCTCGGAGAGCTGGCCTCAGCGGTCGGAATCCATTCGCCACTGCCTGGACGATAGAAGACTGGAGTGCCAGGGGACCTGAAACATCATCTCTGCCGTATAACCGGGTCATGGCGTGCCCCGGCGGCGGGCGGTGGTGTCCTTGCTCTCGCCGCAAGGCTTCGTCCAACAAGAGCTGCTTAGCCAAGGATAAGAAGGTGACTTTGGCACTGTGCACGCCAATGAGGGACAAGTCCGGCCGATCGCCAAAAGTCTGCGGATCAGGACCACCCCCGCAGCACGGCTCAAAGGAGCCAAGAAGACAGGAGCACGAGCATCCGGACCCAAGTCGGCCACCAGAAAGTCGGGCTGAAACCCGAGCGGCCGAAGTACGGGTCACCGCCTCCTGGACCAGACACAGCCAGACCTGGCCCCAGCCGGGGACCGTTTGAGGCCTAGCAAGAAACCCGGGAGCCCAGGCTCCCCACGGCATGGATCGAGAAGTGGTTTTCGTCCTTGTAGCACATCCAAGAAGCGCCTGCCGATCCAAGTGAAGAAAGGAAGGCGGAGACCACTGAGCATCCGACCAAAGAAGGCTGGCAAACACGCAAACCAGTATGAAGCCACACCGAATTCGATGTGCCGCGGACTGGGCCGCATCCAGCACTTGCCTTTCCAACCAAATGACGAAAGAAAGCGGGAAAGGTGCTGTCTCCCTGCGCTGAACCACTTTGCCAAAGGCCCGCACTGCCTCAGACTGTAGCGCCAACTTGAATGACTGCACCTCCAGCCGCGTAGTGATGAACCTGAAGGCCTTGAGCCACGCGATAGCCGACCCCAGAAGACCTTTGCAGTGCGTGATCAAGAAATCGCAGAGGAAGGCTACCTTGGGTGCCCATTCATCTGCCGATTGGACCTGGCAAAACTCGACCCAATGTTTCCAACGACCGAAGTAGTTGGTGAGAGTCGAAGGAGCGTTCCCCTGAACCAGGCGCACCAGAAGTACCGAAGAATTTGGACTCTGCAAGAGCTCTGCCACCATTGCAGAGGCCGCAGCAGCTGTGGCTGCCACTTAAGCTGCTCGTTTTTGGCATTCTGCCAAGCCGACAACATAGTGCCCGGTGCAGCCGGCTTGTAAGGATGAGCCGGGGCAGGAGGAAAATCCTTCAGGTTTGAGAGCACCCTTGCACTGCGGAGCGGAGCAAAGCCACCCTCAGAGACCTCAGACGAGTCCACAAAGCTCGGAGGACGAAACCTCGGCGCCAATGACGGTACAGAAGCCGGGGGCTCCGAGGCCAAAGGCGCGCAGCGGCACCTAGGTAGCAGCAATGGGGCCAGAGCCGGGCTCGGAGCCGGCACTGGTGCAGGAAAAGACGGCTTGCGAGGCGTTCCATCCGGCAGCCAGCGGCTGGCCATGATCATACAGAGAGACCCTAAGCAAGCAAACCCACCCCCCAAAACCTGAGCCTAGCAGAAAGGTCAAAGCGGCAGGCTGATCAGCAGGCACACACAGCTAGCCAAGGCAAAAGGTCCAAAGAGAACCGGTGAATCGCCGAATTTTCCAAAGTTTGCAAAATCGCCTTGATGCCCGGTAAACACAACCTGTCAGTCAGAGCGGAGGCTGTGGGTATCGGAGCTCAAGATCACCGGCAGCTGCGACACCAAGGACTCGAGGCGAGCCACGCGGTCAAGGAGTGAAATGTGCCCTGATGCCGTATCCTGCTGAGACAATGACTGGAGGGCCTGTTCAGCCCGTGCCATCCTTGCGGGAAGAGCATCTGATAGTGCCTGAGCCGCCACCTGGGGATCACCGGTGATCGTTGGAACCAATAGGCCCAGAGCCGACCGCAGATCATCAACATTTTCCCAGAGCAACCTGACACGAGTTTCCAAGCGATCCAACCTCCAGGACAATGCATCCGTCTGCAAAGCAGTCTGGCTGACATGAAGCGACACCGAATCCAAGCCCTCGGATAGAGCGGCCACCCTCTGTTCAATAGCCAGAAACCGATCTGCAGCATCCGACAAAAGAGAAGTGTCAGAGTTCGAAGGCCACACCAAATGTTCCACATTAAGAAGCCTGCCCTCGAGGTTTGCAGCGTGTGACAGACACAATCGAAGATCCTGGGCGAGTTCCGCAAGATCCGAAGCAGTGGCCCAGTCCGGCTGGACCAACGCATGTCCCAAGGAAGGCGGGCTTGAATCAACAATCGGATCATCCTCAAGAGCACTGTATGGGCGCCTCCGATTGAACCTGAAGCAGAAAGGTGAAGAGCTCCGCCGCGACATAGAGGGCCAACCTGACAGAAGTGGGAAAAAAAGGGGTGGGGGAGGTTCACAGGTGCAACAGGCACTGCCAACGTAGAGAACAGTGGCCTAATGCAGAGTCACCGTCCCAGCCAAGCGTGAGCTTGGGAGCGCCGCAACCTGATTATTTAGGCAATCGAGAAAACCCGTGGTCCGGCTGTGGCGAGATAGTCTGCCAAACGCAGCCAAGGTCAAGACCAGGTGTCACCGCGGCGAAGCGCCGGGCGACCTAAAGCCGCCAGAAACACAACGGGAACCGAGAATGCTACGGTTCCAGTGCTTCAATCTGAGAACGGCACAAGGTCCAGAGCAGAATAGCACCGACCTGAAGAAAACGTGAGATCCCCAGGCAAAGCCAGAAGGATTCAAGACGAGGAGCGGGCCCACCAATTGGATCCGTCGCGAAGACCTGAAAGCACAACGGGAACCGAAAGAACGGCTCCAGTGCTTCCACCTGGGGGCGTGGCAAGTCTCGTCAGTCAAAGCCCAGACCTGAGAGTGTCACGTGAGATCCCAGTGAAAACCACCGGGACTCAAAACAAGGGGCTGGCCCGAGCGCGAGCAAGCGGCGTCACCACGACCTGAACAGAGGTAAAGATCAGGTGGGAGGGGGGGGGTGGGGGCAGAACGGGCCGAGAGCCATTACGCACCACAGGCGTGGCAGCTCCGAACTAAGGCAACGGCGCCAGCGAGGCCCGCCACCAATCCCGACCCGCGCCCACGGCCCGCACTTTAAGCCGGCAATCAACGGATGAAGGCCGAGAATGCGCATGCAGTCTGAGGCAAGACCTGTTAGAATTGACCTGTCTCAAGGATCAAGTGCAGGCATGCACACAGTACTGCCCTCATGACGCTCAAAAGAAATTGCAGCAAGAGATGTGAAAATGCAGGCGAAAGAGCAAAAGTGTTTCCTGACTGCATCCAGGCCAGATAATCAACACTGGCCATCAGCGCCGTCGTCGAGAGGCGGCCACACGCCGTCCAAAGCGACCCGAACGCAGAAGTCGAAGAGCACGAGACATATTGTCGGCCATGGCATCCTCAATGGTGCTTTCGAAAGAAGCACGCGTGCCACAGGAACGGAGCCGCATCTCGATCTCCTCGACCTGCCAAGCATCAAAAGGGGACCCACAAGTCTGAGCCGCCGCATTGGTGAGAGCCGTCATGGTATCACGGCCAGACCAAGAGACCACGGACTCCTCCACGCCATTCCGCACCACGCGGATCCAGCCCTGCTGCTCAGAGGCGGAGCTCCAAGGGAGTGACCGCCGCTCCTGCTCGAGCCTCTGAAGGCGAGCCCAAAGTGCAGCATCATTCCCAGGGTCCAAAGGGTCACCAACCTCAGAGGACGTGACACCTGAAGCATTGCGATCGGCAGCTCGGAGGGCGTTGCTGTCGCCGTCGACCGAGTCAGTCATGTCCTCCTCGCTCAGTGGCAGGACATCAGCAATGAAGCCCGACACGGGCGCCTCAAAATGTAGTCGCGACTGTGCCTCATCGTTTCGATCATCATCAGCAGATGCAACGTAGAAGCGACTCATGCCACGAGCCAGAGATCGTGCCAGGGACTCCTGACGCACCAAAGCCAGCTCCATCGACAAGTAGAGAAGAGCCGCCATGCCGGCAGCTCAACTCTAAAGCCCTAGAGCAAAACCTCTAGAGAGCCCTTTACACGTCACGTGTGACGGAGTGGCGCCCCCCCAAGAACGCACTCACGTCGGATCTCAAGGCTCATGAAAAAATTTTGACCAGGAAAGGAACTTGAACCAAAAAGGCAAACGAAAGCGAAATTCAACACTGCCACGTCCAAGCATGCGCAAAGGAAAAAGGCATGTGTTGAAAACGAAAACTTGCCTTCCGGGCTTTGAGGGCTAGCAAACCAAATCGTTTCAAAAACGAAAATCGGCTTGGCGTTACGGGGCTCTCTAATGGTTGATAAGATCCTTTTCTATCGTCAAGCAGAAAACAAGGGGTTCCTTGCAAAATGCAAGCTTTCCTTATTCCGGTAGCTTAGAAACCAAGTTTCTTGAACCCCAAACTCTGAAGTCAATATAATCACCCCCATTAATATCGTCAGAAGAACCCTCATGAAACCTTTATATGAAGCTCCTTAAACCTGTACATGAAGGTCCTTAACCACAGACTAACCCTGTCCAAACAAGTATGCAAAACAAACATCTGTGTAACTCGGAGGCCTCAACAGGTGGGGTGAAGGTAGGTAAAATGAAGGATCCCTTATATAAGGACTCTTAATCCTACTTGTCGGGTATCATGGGGAAATGAAGGTTAACCCTTTTGGGTATACAGGGACTATACTAACCAAAACAGGTTAAAGGTACCTACTCTACTACCAAGTAATTGGGAATATCCCACCATAAAGACCCCTAAACCTAGACCCTAAACCCTAACCCCTAAACATTACAGTACCCTTATAGACCCCTTATAGCAACCCTTATAGATCCCTTAATAGTTAACCCTTCTAGTACCCTGTATCCCATCTGTGGACCCCTTTGAGTAACAGGACCCGGCCACCGGGATCCAAGTTGAAGCGCAAGGAGCCGCTGAAAACGGTGGGCTCCTGCAACTAGGGTTTAGGGTTTAGGATTCAGGGGTTTAGGGTTTAGGGTCTAGGGTTTAGGGCTCCAGTCCACTGCGACTTGAATGGAGCAGGTGCTTCAAGTCCGTGATCGGACTTCTGTCTGCATGTGCGTATGTACGTAAACATGTATGAATGTGCGTATGTATGTATGTAAGTACACCTCTGTATATATAACCACATATGTATGTGTATATATCTATATGATCACACATTAATATAAATGTGTGAATACACACACACACACATACACAAAGCTTTACTTCTTTGTTCGACTGCTTGATACTCAAGTTTGCAGTTCATGGATGCGTCCACCTGCTTGCCTTCCGAGTTTGGTTGCTTCTTTACTTCTTATTCTTACATATGTATACAAACATATCTAGAAACATGCCCACACATACGAACGGAGACAAGGAGAAGCGGGGAGCGAGAGAAGAGAGAGAGAGAGAGAGTGAGATAGAAGCTCTTTCTGATGCCGTATATCTTTATGCACGTCATAAGAAAATACATGCATATACACACATATACACCCTGAACCCTAAGCCGTTACATACATACATATATATATATATATATATACATATATTCTTTTAGTTGCTTATTTATGTATATTTATTCCCTTGTTATATTTCTCTTTTTTCGCAATACAAAGCCGGGAAGTCCTGTGGGATGATCACCAGGTTTTGCCGCAGCGTCTGCAGGCCGATCCTTTGCTATCCCAACGACGGGGTTTGGGGTTTAAAGGCTTTTGCCCTTTTTTGTTTTTGAGGTTTTGCGGATTTAGGGATCGTAGGGGGGCTTAAGGAGTTTAGGGTTCAGGGTTTTTGTGGCTTTTAAGGTTTAGGGCCTCGGGAATTTAGAGTTGTTGCGGCTTAGGGGGTTTATGGCTTCGGGTCTTTAGGGTTTAGGGTTTAGGGCTTTCGGTTTCGGACAATAAAGCTTAAATTGCCAGACTGGTATTCGCTTATAAGTTGGTTTAGGGTTTGGGTTTCAGGGTTTTAGGGTTTGGGGTTCAGGGTTTAGGTCAAGAAAACGAAAGTTGGCCATTGCAGAACCCAGCTTCTCTGCAATGTTCATGCCATCAATCGTTATGCTGCCAGCTACGGGATCCTGAACGGTGCTGACACCACTTGGGAGTTTCCGAACATAGGGGACCCTAAGTTAGCACCCTAAATAGTAGGATCCTTATTTTAAGGACCCCAAAAAAAGGTACCCCTAATTTTCGGAAACTCCCACTTCAATGCACTGAAGCACGACTTCGCATGAAGGGTTCAGGGCTGTTTTGGCGGGGCAGGGTAAGGTTTGGTGTTTGGGCTTAGCTGGTGCAGGACCGTTTTTTGCAATCCAAGCTGCAATGACGCGAAACAGGGCCATGATGAGGCTGGATTTGCCAGCGCCGCTGCGCCCACACACCCCGACCTCAAGTGTCAGGATCCAGGGTACAAGGCTCAGGGCTTAGGGCGTAGGATTTAGGGTACAAGGCTTAGGGCCCAGGGCTTAAGCTTTGGGTTTTCTTTACTGCTGCGCCCCCCTAAACCCTAAACCCTAAACCCAAACGCAAAACCTCTAAACCCGAAATCCCTAAACCACTGAAGCCTAAACCCCCTAAACCCTAAACCCAAACCCTGCCAAACCCCAAACCCGTAGTAGACTTTTGCCTTCATCTCAGGCACCCTCGCTCCTGCATCGACGCTGAAATCCACACTCTTGAGGACGAGTTCGCCATCTCGGTACCGCACGGAGACCTCAGGGTTTAGGGGGGCGTTATAGGGTTTGAGGCCTTAGTGTTTGAGGGTTTAGCGGTTTAGGGGTTTAGGGTTTGAGGGTTTAGGGGTTTAGGGGTTTAGGGGTTCAGGGTTTGAGGGTTTAGGGAATGAGGGCTTAGGGTTTGGGGGTTTAAGGTTTAGGGCACGGAGACCCTTGCTGAAGGGTTTAAGACCAGGTTGGAACTATCGAAAAAGATCCGTAAGCTAGAACCTCTCAGGCCGAACAATGGAAGATGTAACACGTCCCAAAGGCCTGCCCAAAAGAAGGTTTATGGGCTTCCGTTTTTTTGGCTTTTGCGCTCAATGGGGTTAAGGCAGCGTAAGGGTTTAATGCTTAAGATTTTCGAGTTTAATAGCAATAGAAACAGCAATAGTAAATAGTGAGAGTTTAGGGGTTCAGGGAGGTGGTTTAGGGTTTCAGGGTTTCAGGGCTCAGGCTCAGGGTTTCTAAGACCTACACCGGTTTAAGGCCTTGTTTTAAGGATCCAGGCTTTAGGGACCGGTACTGTGACTTAAAGGATCATGAGACTTAGTAACTAGGGTTATAATTAGGGTATCTGTACTTATAGCTACTTATAACCCCAATTAAGGTAAGTATAACCTGACTTACTAAGTCCCATGATCCTCCAAGGAGACTCCATGACGGCGTCGAAACTGAGTTCAGAAGGAAAACCCCTAAACCCTGAACCCTAAACCCTAAACCCTAAACCCCCAAACCCTAAACCCTGAACCCTGAACCCTAAACCCTAAACCCTAAACCCTAAACCCTAGACCCTAAACCCCTAAACCCCTAAACCCTAAACCCCTCTGCCGCCCAGCAGCGTTCTCAAAGCGAATGGCCCCTTTGCTGGGCCAGCCACTCGGAAGGCTCCTGCCAGGTTCCTGTTACCCAGACCTTCCAAAAGCCCTCAAATTAAGGAATATACCTTAAATTATAATGGGGTCCCTAATATGATTTAAGGTATATTCCTTAATTAAGGAATTTACCTTAAATTATAATGGGGTGTCCCTAATATGATTTAAGGTACATTCCTTAATTAAGGGATTTTGGAGGGTCTGGTTAAGGAACTTAATTTGAGCTACCATGATAAGGAAACCATGTTATTTACTTTAGGTTCATATTATGGTAAGCTAAGTTTTAAACTCCCTAACCCATGTATCACTATTATGGTAACTGAAAATTAACCCAAAATTAAACTCCTGAACCCTTGCAGGAACCCAAATATATCCCTATTATGGTAATTTAAACCAAACTCCTTAACGAGAACCCTGTATGGATCCCTTAAAGGGAACCCTTATAGATCCCTTACAGGGAACACTTACAGAACCCTTAAAGAAACCTCCAGAGATCCCTACACTGGTAACTTAAAAAGGGTGGTTGTCAAAATTAGGGTCCCTTTTTTGGGATACCCTAAATATTAGGTGCCGTATTGTAATAAGGACACCATAATTTTGACAACCACCCAAATAAAAGGAAACATACCCCCCAAACCCTAAACCCTAACCCAAATTAAGTCTCCTCAACAAAGAACCCTTACAGAACCCTTAAAGAAACCTCCCGAGATCCCTACTATGGTAACTTACATTGATCTCCTGAACAAAGAAACCCAGCCTCGAGCTCAGAAGTTCTGGCTCTTGTGGAATCTTCTCGAAGGACAGGACCCTCTCACAGGCAGTCAGCATCTGCCCAACCTCACTTGGAGGTTCATAGGTAGTTTAGGGGTTCTATACTTGGGCCTTTCAGGGTTCCTATCCTGGGCTGGGTCTAGGGGCTTAGGGATGCGGGGTTCAGGGATTCAGGGTTTGGGGGTTTAGGGCTTTGGGACCTTACTTGGAGGGTCGGGGGGCTTAGTAAGTAGGTAGTAAGTGGACTTATAAGTACCCTAAAAGGGGACCCTAATTGGGGTTATGGTACTTACAAGTCCCTAGAATAACCAGTTACTAAGTCCCCCGACCCTCCAAGTAGGTAGTTTAGGGGTTCTATACTGGGGCCTTTCGGGGTGCCTTTCAGGGTTCCTATGAGGGGCTATAAGTGGGTTTAGGGGTTTGGGGGCCCAGGGATGCGGGGTTTAGGGGTTTAGGGATTCAGGGTTTGGGGGTTCAGGGCTTTAGGACCTTACTTGGAGGTTGGGTTTAGGGTGGGTAGAAGTGGAGTCAAAAGTCCCTTAATACGGGTAGTAACCAACCAGAACCTACTGGTTTTTGCTAGGTCCCCAAAAAGCTCTCCACTCGGGTTCAGGCTCGTACCTTGCAAAACAAAAACCAGTTGAAGGTAGGTCAAGAGGCCGTGATCGCAAGCTTCGTGGTTCTTTGGAACATCGAGGTCAGTTGTACAGCGTAGACAAGTGCCACGCCCACCGTGTTCCCATCCACAGAATGTCGCAAGAGCACGGCCAGAAAGCTAAAGCTGCCGATGATCGCAGCAGATAAGAGCTCCACTCTGTACATCAGCCACAAGTCCGTCATGCTGGCTGCATGGAAGAAGCGCATGTTTCGCCGCAGGATCTGCGTCTGAAGCTCACCTAGGTCACTCAGCATCCCCTTGACCATGCGGGTTTTGGGTTTGGGGTTCTGGTTTAGCATCCTCGCTGGCATTTAGACACCTAGTGAGAACATCTCCAAAATAGAAATGGGGTTTAAGGTTAGTGTCTTGGGCTTACGGGGACAGGTTTCCTTACAATGGTAGCTTACTTTAAGGTTTAGGGTTAATCTAGGAACCTGATCAAGAAACCCTGGGCCTATAACCCCCCAAATAGTAAGATTCATATAAGGAACCCTACTAAAGACCCAGGCTTTCTTAATCAGGTTCTTACATTAGGGTTCGGGGTTTAGAGGGCGCAGTTGAGGCCCGAGTCGCAGAAGCGATCCTGGAGTCCCCACGCACGTATGGTCTGTAAGCCCGAGAGGGTCTCAGAGAAGGAGCCTCTGGCTCTTCTTGGAGGTCCATGGGGAGCTTATAAGTGGGGTAAAAGGGGTTGCCTTGAGGGTTCCTTTAAGGGAGGTATAGGATTTAGGGTTTAGAGTAGTTAGAAGTGGGGATATAAGTCCCCTAATATGGGTCATAACTAGAGCCACCTTGCTTATAACCCCACTTATAACAACCCATGAACCTCCAAGTTCTCTCGGTTTAGAGTCTAGGGGTTTAGGCAGGGGTTTGGGGTTTGGTTTAAGGGTTTGGTGGTTTAGGGTTTAGGGGTTTAAGGCCGATTAGGGGTTTAGGGTGTAGGGATCTCGTACGGACTTGAATTACGGGAGCTTTTGTAAGGGTATGCTGAGGGTCTAGGGTTGGGGTTTGGGGTATGTCAAAAGCTGGTATTAGGTCTTTATGGGGTTGTTTGTAAGGATCCCATGATAGTAACTTGAACTCAACGCCTGAAAGACCCTGCAAAACTAAACAACACCTGCTCTTCCAACACCCTACACGCTCTAGACCAGGACCCAGGAGCTGTAGATGGGAGACCTCGACGAGCTTTCCCAGCTCTGCAGGGCGCGCAAGAGACATCCGGACCGAACTCCGATCATCGCAAACACCGCGAAAAGCAGACAAAGCACGACCGCGAAGCCGGGCAAGGCAAAGATGGTCAAGCCCAGAATAAGCCTGGGTTCTTGTTAAGACATTTAACTAAAGATACCTTAGAACAGAAACCATGTCATTCACTGTTGACTAGTATTCTGGTAACTGAAATTAAACTCCTTTAACACGAACCCAGAAGCACCAACTGCGCCAAGTGGGATAGCAGCGCAATTAAGAAATCTGGCAGCTGGACGTCCGCAATCTCCAGGTCCTTGGAGAACTTGTTGCAGATCTCTCCGCTGGTCACCACGTCGAAATATGTTGTCACTGGGGCCCGCAAGAGACGCCAAAACATAGCCTGCAACAAGCGGGGGAAAGGACAAAACCTCGGGGCAGCTGCCGCAGGATCTAGGGCTGCGGGGCTGGGGTTGCGAGTTGGTTGCTGTGGGGCATGCTCCTGCACCAAATTGCAAGACTATGAGAACGGGAATCTGTGACACTAGACGACACCCTGCAAGACGGTGGAGTTGAAAGCCAAAGACACATGTGGACGATGTACACTGGGCAACCGTGTTTCCCCAAACCCGAGAAGGACCGTATGTCCTTCAATCTTGGGGTTGTGGGCCCCGACACAGTAAAGCTTAAACCCAGGAGAGATTTCAAGAGGACCATGTGGCGTTGTGCAGGAGGCGGGCAGCACGGAAGCTCGCCAGCGCTGAGAGGGCAATACGCAATCCCAGAAGCAGCGCCAGGAAGCAGAGGAAGAGGGCCGGAGTTGAGAAATCTGTCTCGCCAGCAGCCCAATGTGTCACGCTTACATCAGCAAGGACCCTGCAACCTTGCCCCAGGAGGAAAATCATAGAAATGGGAAATCCAATGAGAAAGCCGTGCAGTTCACGAGATCCGCCCAGCCACTTCGCAAGGGCAGTGATAGGAAAAGCCTTGGTACCCACGTCCTGAGCCCAGGTTAGGAGTTAGAATTGAAGGAAGAAGGAATCCTTTTCAAGGGCTCCCTTTTCAACCTTTCAAAATTCCAGGAAACTCAAACCACCAAAAGCAATCACAATCCCTAAAGACTGACCAAGCGTCTGCTTGCATCAAACGCCGGGTTGCTGTTGTTGGGGCCCGGCTCGACATCCCTTCACTTGATTTCGTGGCCGGCTTGCCTTCACTGGGCTTGGGCGAAATCCGCAGGCTCTGGATGTTACTGAGCTCTGGGGGCAGATCTTCGGATCCCGCCAGCGTTCCATCGTTCAGGACCAGACACTTCTCGAAGTTTGGCAGTAGATGAGTGTGAGAGGACATCGCGCACACTACTGTGCAACCAGTAGTCATCCGCATCAGGCCCTCCATCACCGTTTCAGCAGTGAGCATGTCTAAAGCCGCAAAGGGCGAATCCAAAATCACCACATCCGCACTTCCTGCTGAAGCTGCGTATAGGCAGCGGGCCAGCCCAACTCGGGCCTTTTGGCCACCAGAGAGGTTGATCCCCCGCTCTCCGATGTCTGTTAAGTCACCATCGAGCAAAGCCTCCAGATCAGGTTGCAGCGCCACGGCTTCAAGGACCTGGGTTCTTGTTAGGGAACTTATAGTTGATTTAAGGTACCATGATACAGAAACCATTTCATTTATAATAGATCCCTACCATGGTAACCTAAACTACATGCCTTTATTATTTACTAGTAGATTTCTAGTATGGCAGCTTAATATAAAATTCCTGAACAAGAACCCAGGAGCTTGATCATAGACGGCCTCGTCCATAGGCAGGCCGAACAAGATGTTCATGCGTAGGGTCGTGTTCTGGATCCAAGGCGACTGTGCCATGTATGCAACCCGGCCTTTCAGACTGAAGCTGCCTTCCAAAGACTGCATCTCCCCAAGTAGCATCCTGGATTTTGGGGCTTCGGGTTCAGGGTGATGGGCTGCCAAAAAAGGGGTTTAAGATTCTCGCAGTAGGGATTCCTTAATATGAACCCTATCATGGGAACCCTAATCCCTACTAAACCCCCATAGGCTAAAACCCCTTTTTTGGCCTTCTATGACAAGGTTTCGGGGCGCTGAGTCTACGTTGATAAGAGCGGCACCTAATTCACTGCACATCCCGATTGGAGCACGTAACTCTAAAGGTAGCTCAACAGGAGCCCAGAATCGACAGAAATGAGGTCTTGCCAGAGCCGACCTGGGTTCTTGTGAAGGAATTTAATTGAAGCTGCCATAATGTAGAAGCCGTATAATTTACTATAGATCCCTAATATATTGTAACTTAAACCGAATTCAATTCCTGAACAAGAACCCAGCGACAGGGCCAAGGACGGCCACTTTGCTTCCCCACGGCAGCTGACAATAAGGAACCCGCAATCGAAAGGACTGAACCGGATCCCAGCAGCACACGGCTTCCGTGACAGCCACAGCATGTGCAGCACCTTTCTCATTGGATTCTATACGCCGGTGACCGTCTTCTCGCAACAGGAACTTGCTGATTCGCGTCGCGGCCACGAAGCCATCTTGCGTCGAGGAGAATGCGAGGGTGAGCAAGGTCAGTGGAAATCGAAGGGTGTTTATAAGCCCTAAAGCCATCACTGCCAGCGACAGCTCCACTTCCCCGTCTTGCCAAGTTTTGGCCGCCAGAATCATCATCAGCGCCAGGGCCTCAGAAAAACAAGCTCCACCCAGTAAACAAGCCCAACAGAAGAATAACAAGGATTGCGTCATACATCTTAAACGTTACGCTACAGCCGTGAAGCTTACGCAAAATATGAAAGTTTCCAAGCATAGGGGACCCTAATACAGTACCCTAAATAGTAGGATCCTTATTATGAGGACCCCAAAATAAGGTACCCCCATCTTCGGAAACCCCCATAGATGTTTCGAGGGGTGCTCTGCGACAGCAGGAGAGGCCCGATTGAAGACGCCCATCCCACACATACATACTACAGGATCCTTAATAGTTAGAGTAGGGCTCCTTTAAAAAGGTTCCTAAAAGGGATATAAGAATTCTATAAACTTTCCTTTAAAAAGTTCCTTCAAGGGCTATTTAAGGGTCCTTATAGAATACACCAAAACCGTTAAGCCATGAGCGGTCGCGCTAACCTTTTACTCAGAGGGCTTGGGCACAATAGTCAGCGGTATATAGTACACAACATGATGACTGTACACGACCATACAAACTCCTACGCAAGCTGCGATGCAAAACTACACCCCCCTCACCTAAAGGCACGGTCACTGCATTCAAAAACACAGCATACCTTCGCCTGCAGGTGGAAGAGCGCTTCGGCTCGGAGTTCGACGATCGGCGTGGAGTTGCCTCCCGCGTCATCAGTTGTATCAGCAAAAGTACATGTGACTATCGTGTGCCTCGAGGAAGGGTGCGAAAACTGCATACGAGCTTTTCTTCAAATGCAAGACGCTGGTTTCAGCGTGGAGCAAGGACGATAGGAGTTCGCCGCACAGCCACTTGAAAAATATCACAGGCCGGGTGAACATCCCTCTTGCTCGAAAGAATCAGACTACTGGGTCGGCTTATCAGTACCAACGCCATCCGCGATTGCGCCACTCACGCCAGTCCTGGTTGTCCCAGTTCTGGCCGCGCCATGATCCCCAGGATGACGAAGACCAATTCTGCCACCAGGATTGATCATCCCAGTCCCAGTCGCGGTCGGTGCGATCGGCGGCCTCGGCGTTAGCCGGGCGTTTGCCTTTTCCCTTCTCTGCTGCTCGGGCATACGTAGAGCCCTTGCCACCACCTGGCGGATGCTGCTGGGCATACTTCGGCTGGGCAGCACGACTTTGATTGGCCTTTTTGATGGTCTCATCAACCGTCTCCACCATGAAGGGTAGGTCCTTTGCCAAAACGGTCTGTAGGTCCGCACCCACTGCAGCGGGATCGTAGTTGAGAAGATCCACCTTGCCGTGGCCAAAAGTCTGTAGACGGATGCCCCCCTTTTGCCTGGCGATGTTGTGAGCAAAATCTTGGAACGAAAGGATGGCTCCGTACCAAGTAAATGCTACTGGCGTATCCTCCGGCGTGGACGTTAGTCCCGCTGCGCACAACTTGCCGCCAATGCCATCGTCTCCGGTAAAGAAAACGATACGACACTCCGGAACCTCGTCCGTGCGGATCTGGTGCGTGGTACTCGCCGCTCTGGAGGATCCAATAGCCAGCATGCGTTGCGATCGAGTGCGGCCAGGGTTCGGAAGGTAGGCGAAGCAGAGGCAGTCGAGGGCACGAATCGTCCTGCGCGTGTATCCCTCTTTGGCCATTGAAATTGCGTATTCATTGTCATGATTGAACCTCGCTACGCAATCAGTGTAGCCCTTTTTCACGGCCCTCTGCTTTGCCACTTTGGCTTTCCGAATAACCTCGCCTTCTAAGGAGTTCATGCCACGGCCGGCGACATCTTTCGATGCGCTTTGAAGGCTTGGCCTCACTCCCACTCGTTCAGCGGCATCACCCATCTCCTGAAGCAGAGCTTCACGCCCACGTGCCAACAGCGTCCGTCTGCCCTGTGCCTTCAATTGACCTGGTCGAACTGGCCCTCCGCATTGAGAGCAAATCCTTTGGCCTTGAAGACACTCAGCTTTGCAGTGGTAGCATTTGATCTTCTCCAAAAACGCGGCGGATGGCTTTGTCTCACTACCAGCATAAAGTACTGGTTCTGGCCTTCCCACCGGCTCCTGGATTGCTTCAACTGGTGTACCCTCAGCATCCAGCGTCACCGTTGTCGCCATTCCGTCACCGATGTACACGGTCCTGATTGGAGGACCCGGCTGTGCAATGATGGTGCCTGGTTCAACAAGCGGCCTCTCCTCTACGGAGGGCATTTGCTCATCATCAGGGGCTTCATCGTCGTCAGCCTTTGCAGGGGCATCGGTGATAGCCAACGATCCCTCAAGCACATCAGCAACATCTGGAATAGGCGGCAGGGACGTTTCCTCAGCTGGAAGGGTACCATGTTCTTCATCAATAGGCGGTGCGAAATTGTCCTGAGTCGTCTCCTCGGGCTCGGGTTCATCAAGAACGATGTCGATGCCGGCCTCAGCGTTAGCTGGGCTTTCTCCCTGCTCTTCGTCAGGAGGTACAGTGCCCCCTGCACGGGACCAGAGTACGACATCGCGCTGAGTATCGTTGATGAATAGGATTGTTGATCCTGGCACTGCTTCGGAACACAATATGCCGTCCGATTCCGTGACGAATAGATCGCAAGCAGCTTCCAGGACCTCCCGAGTGTCAAAGACGATCTCGATCGGTGAGCTCGCACGGAGTCCTGAACGTGCCTTCTGCTCCTCGAGCGGCAGCGGCGCAAAGTAGCAATGCGCCTTCTCAGAACCCCCAAAACCCGGCAACAAACGATCTTCCAGAATCGCATACGCCGCATCATGTGTTGTGCGGTGATAGAGCCTGGGCGGTGCCTTGTCAATCGGGATCAACGGCCTGCCCTCTCGGGCGGCATTAGCCAGCTCATCAGAACGCTGCAGCGTAAGATATGCCTTTGCAATAGAGGCATTGTCGAGCTGCAGATTGCTGGAGTGGCCTTGCGTACACCCGACGTAGACCGGAAAAGCCGGTTGCCCAATTGCATCGGCAGCACTGTCCATTGGCCCGCGAAACATAAGGCGCTGTTTGTTGTCGGTAGCGATCATGTCGAGGAGGCTTCCCAGACCAATGTTGTTTCCAGGTCTGCATCGATTGGCAACCTCAAGCACTTCCATGGCCAATACCCATGGCCCGCTCCACGATCGCAGTTTAAATTGATTACCCTTGTTTTCGAAGTTTCCTCTGATGAGTCCAGTGACGAATGTAACCATTTTGTGATCACATCTCGGGTAGTGTAGGCCTGGCGTCATGTCCTTTTGGAACACTTCGATGTACTGGTCGGCCTCCTCTTGCGAGGGGCATTCGTTCCAGTAATCATACAGGGTAATGCCAGTCATCTCGGCGAAGTCATAGGTGTCGTTCATGAACCTCATTCCGCGCGATCCCTGCACTGCGAGCTTGGTCAATCGCTGCTTGTCGGCCTCAGCCTTTGCAAGACGAGCTCTTTTTGCAGCGTGCTCGGTGCCAGAGTCGCCAGACAGAATGCCTCCACCATAAATGGATGCGTCGATCGGCATCGGTCGAATATCGCCAGAAGACGAAGCTGCAGTACTCGCCGGGGTAACGGCCTCCACCTTAGGTGGGGCTTTGTTCCATTCCGGCGAATTGATCTCCTCTTCTGTTGCGAACACACCGGGTGCGACGCTGATGACGTTCTGAATCTTCATCTCCTTGAGGAAGTCGGGGACCTCAGGCGCGGGCAGTTCGGCGTGACTTTCGTCACGCTTCTCCTCCCAGTATGCGTCGTCCCACGGATCCTCCTCCGTTGGCTCCGCCTTGACTTGCTTGCTTCTCGTCATCCTCGCAAGAGCCGCTTGCAGGACATGGTTATCGACTGCGTAGCGACCACGGGAATCAAAATAATTGTCAGCAAGCAGTGACTGGAAGGCGGATTCGCCCATTTTTGCTATCGCTCTGGAGGCGTAGCGCTCGGCGATCTCGATCTGCATGATGTGGGCTAAACCCGAAACCATCTTGCGGCGGGATTCACTGTCCTCGCGGAAATGGACGTTGTCGTTGTAGAGCGCCAAATCTCCAAGGAAGGGGTGGATGTCACAGGCGGCGAGTCCTCTACGGACCGCTTCGTCTTTGAATCGCGCAATGCATTCATCGAACTGCTTTGGCAACCCGTAGACGAAGCTGCGAACTCCTGTGCATATCACGATGGACCCCACATATGGAGAACGGCGCTGCAGGTCTGCAAGCGCTTCAAGATTTTGGCAAACTCTCCGACAGATCTTTTGCCAATCTCCGCGGGCCTCTATGGGCGATTGATGGTCCCACCACGTCGGGACGCCGGGGCTGCAAAATATCCCGTATCTGCCGACGATCTCATTCGCCATCCAGACAATCTGCACGTCCACCAGCAACTCTTGGTCGCCAGAGTAGCGCAGAGCCGTCTGGTCACAGAGGATCTGAGCCCTCTCCCGAAGTTCGGACAATGTTTTGCCCCACAGGGGTTCGTAAATTATCTCCCTGTACTGCAGATAGACCCCCGAGCTCGCTGCCTTCAAATCCGAGGAAAGGTCTGTCCTCGTTCTCTTGCCAGCAACGAAAACAGTCGTAGAGTCGGAGAGGAGGATGAGCACCCGCTTTCGGCCTCGATTTTCATCGGGCTTTAGCTGCGACATGCCAGACTGCGTCAATGCTGCCACTCGGTTGAGCCCTGGATATCGATCCGTTTCAAAGCAGTTGTGAGCAGCCACTTGCACCGGCATGTACTGAAAAAGTGCTCGCAACTCTCCTTCGTCAATCGACTCTTGGAAGCCTATCGACTCGTGACTGATGACGGCCGCCCAAAGCTGGCGGCCCCAAAAATCGGCCAACTGCTCTTCGTAGGTCGCCATCGCTCTTCTACTCTCAGCTGCTACCACGGGACTAGGACCCGGCCTCAGCGTTAGCTGGGCTTTAGTTGTACAGTAAAGCGATGACAAAGCTGCGCATGCCAGTCCTTCATGTACCTTAGGTCCATCATTATCCTTAGTGGTATGCAATTGCCAATCAGCATGCAATGCCGAAACCTTGGTTTTCGATGTCCTTAGTCGTCCACAGTCCT